GCATATACGGCTGACTATGATACTTCTCAGCATAGTAAGACAGCAAAGAGTATCTGTGTGAATCCATATACGGCTGACTACGATACTTTTCAGCATTGTAAGACAGCAAAGAGTATCTGTGTGAATACATATACGGCTGACTACGATACTTCTCAGCATTGTAAGACAACAAAGAGTATCTGTGTGAATACATATACGGCTAACTATGATACTTCTCAGTATAGTTTACATAGGTAAATTACTTCTTTGTTTGATGATGTGAAGCTGATGCCACATTGTCGCCATAATGAGACCACAATGAAGCAAAGCAATAATCACCTAACTTTTTAATGTCGCAATATTGATGCGATGCTGAAGCCATAACAATGCCATAATGACGCGATGGTGAAGCAAACCTGAGCTGAAGTGCAGGCAAAGCTTACGCGATAACTGTACTGTACTTACCAAGTTCTTTCAGTTCGTCATTACAACTCTGGTTTATAACAATTACAACAGGCGGATTCTCCAGCTCTAGCCATCCACGATGTTGCAGGTATGATGATCTTACTTTGTTGCCAAGTAACAACCAGAGGGTTGGCATTACAACAGAAGTATCATTCAAAGTGAGATTGTAATTCTGTGCCATTTCTTGGTTATTGATAAGTCTACGGTGTAACATCACCTGGAAATGTGAGAAGGTTGGTTATTTAGTAAATGGTACACAGTGAGTCACATATACATAGTGGAGTTTGTATGTAAACTGTCATTACATATTTGTCACATTCTGGCTCTGAGACATCAGTGGAACAGACAAATACGCAGACGCACTAACTACAAAGACTTTACTAATCTAAGTGTCCAAAAGTGGAAAGCAGGTGGCAATTATAAGACTTCACGTTACGTTGACCAGTTAATGTCTGTGAATTGTGTGCAACTATGTTACTTTGAGAACAAGGAATGTTCCACCACTCAAGTGAAAATCAACTAATTACACTGAATTTGACCAATCACCCAGAATTCAACTGGAACATTTACCAATCCCCCAAAATTCAACTGGGGAATTTAAAGAAAATGTACAGACATTAAATGTACTGGTATATAACAAATGTAATTATAAATACCAGCAAACCTGTTATGAATTTCAATCAATTTTATAGCTGCTAAATTTCACTCATAAATAAATACACATTCTAATTTGTTGATGATTTTCAGACCAAATGCTCACCAGTGACAAATTCTGTTCATTTTTGAAGCTTAAGCGAGGGAGTTGGACACAGCATATTGTTGTTTACAAATAGGCATCCACTGTCAGCTTTTGCAATTTTAGCATGCTTTGTTATCATCCCTTAGAACTCACTTCCCTTTCGAGTGCAGCTGACGACCCCTTCACTTCAACAAGCAATAGATGAAATACATTTTTGAGAGTGGCTTACCTCCATTTGACCATCTGTAAGACTACTGACACCATGGCTTCTCTCAGATAATAATGTCAATCTTAAATCTTTTTTTTCATCTTCAATGTAAGCTGTGCTAACCATTGGGTAGTAATTCTAATAAATAATAATGTGGAGAGTATGTAAATAATAATCAAGTAAATAAGTTTGTATTTAGTACAAAGTGAGTATTTAGTACAAAGTGAGTATTTAGTACAAAGTGAGTAATTAACTCCCATAAAAAAATGAATATCATTTTTATCAATAATTTATTGATTTTAGTATTTACATAATTATGGAGATTAATATGTTCATTTAGCTATTTAGCTTTAAGCCAGGTAAAAGCTAATTAAGGTTTATATTGCATTCACACTTTATAAGGTACCATCCCATGACCAATATAGTGTAGTGGCAATGTGAAGAAATCTTTTTTAGAAGTGACGTCTTTCTAAGAGAAAAAGAATTACATTTTGCATGGCAGTGCATGTTTTCTAAACATCAACTGAATACACTGAATCAGTCTCTACCAAAGGCAAATTTAAATATTCTAACATTTTTAACACTTGGTTTGGGTGAACGCTTGAACATCTATAATGATACTTTAATAAAAACATTAGAATGATAAATTGATCATTGACAATATTTCTGTCATACAATATATCACTTCAATGTCCGATGTAACAAAATAAACATTTTAAATGTATAAAACTTTGTGTCATAGTTTACCATGAATAAAAATGTATAGTTATAAATTGAATTATGCAAATCAGCTCATTAATAATGTAAATATATGCATACCTGTGCAATAGGTTCTGTAGTGTTTTTTCTGAAATTTCTTTTCATCATCTGGTAAGCATTCTCATCTGTGTAGATGACTTTTCCATTAGTTAGATTGGTAGAAAACCTAAATGATATAAGAGACCACACTGT